GAGAAAATACATATCATCAGAAGTGAATTTGTTCCCTGAAAATCAACTTTGAGCCGAGGCTGCAGGGTTGCTACTCGGCAACGATGATGTTAAAGCATCTGGAGAATGGGTTTCTTCAGCAGACGCATGGCGAACAAATTCTTCAGGAGACATATGAGAACCATGGCAAGCACAAACTATCCTTATCTGGGTCGGGCTAAACCTGTACGTCACCCCAGATATTGTCCTCCCATTCGGGCCTTGGCCCGTAGTAGAAACCCATGGCAAGTTCGGGTAGGACCCACAACCTCCAAATTTTACTTCCCCTGCAATACCGGGCCTTATGGCAGGAAATTCACCCGGAATCGGCTCTGCTGCTGCTGCTCTAGATTGATCGGGTGCATCTTTTCTCACCTGATTATACCCTTTCGCATCTCCTCCTCCTGTGTGAGAAGATGGAGTAGATTCAGTTGCCTTGTGCGGAATAATCCCTGCAAATACCCTCATCTTCTTCAAAACTCATTCAATAAGTATATTGTTTGGCAAAAACAGCTATTATAACCCGTCATCTTCTTGAAACAAAACCCAATATAGAAAAATATAGGCAAAATGCATTTTTAGTTCTATTGGTTTGACATAATAGCAATTTTAGTCCCAAGTTTGCCTTTTGGTCCTGTTATTTAATACTTTGCTGCAATTGCAGTCTTAATTGCAACAAAAAATTAAATTACAAGATTTAAATTGCTAATTGAAAATCTGGGAATTTGGGAATTTGTTGCAATTGAGACTAAAATTGCAGCAAAATATTAAATCACATGACCAAAAAGTGAAATGCCTTGGGACTGAAATTGCTATGTCGTTAAACGAGCAGGACAAAAAATGCAGTTTTGCAGAAAAATGTATAAATAAAGGAACAAAACCTTGGGTGATCTTTCGACTCTCATTCTGAGTGTCGTGATTGAGTGAGTTCCTTCCGGAATAAGTCGGGTGGTGCATTTCTTGGTGATGACAAATATTGCCCTTAGAATTATCCCTATCCAGAGATGGTAGCTGGACAGGATTGTACCCAAACATTAACGAAAAATTACCAGGAGTACCACCAATATTCGAGTCCTTCATTGGTTGAGAGCTTAACGTGTTCGTGTTCATGCTTACTGGTTGTCCTCGGAGAGGAACAGTACTGTAAGCCATAGGCATATTCATCACATTAAAATTCTTTTCCGAGCTACCACTTGGAATATGCCCGGAAGTCGAGCCATCTACTTCAGATTCTGCTACATCTTCATTGTCTGCAGTCGATCCCTCATCAGTGGTTATGGAAATATGCGATGTTTTGGATTTATCAGTCAAATCGACAAAACTAGTTGCATCTTTCTCATGCTTCTTTTCTTGGTTTGTCTCGATAAACAAGTGTTTGCGCTTCTCACCAACACTTGATCTCTTATCTTCGACAAATTCAGTTGACCTGCTATCATTTGTCAACCATATTCCTCCTCCAGTATTTGAATTTCTAGAAGTTTCTAAATCGGCAGCAGATTTACCAAAGCTGTTATTATAGAACTTCTCCCCGACTATTATCGGATGCTGTTGGTTATTACCACCTTCTAGAAAATTTTTGAACTCGTTGATCAATTTGCTACCTCTATCAGCTTCATCTGACTTCATATCTGAGGAGCTGCCATATTTAATCTTCTGCGAAGAAGAACTATTTCCACCACAAGGCAGCCCCAAGCTCAGATCAAGGCCTTTCTCGTCCTCCATCACTGATAAGCTTAAAAGTATTTCATATAAATTATCTTCGAACTTCTTCCAGCAGAGTGTTGATGCCTAACCAGAAAAGGGGAAAGACAATAAAACTATAACACAATCAGTAGTCTTCTTGACTTTCCAACTTGAGCTGGGGTTTGAGTTTACTCAAAACATGAATACAAAGACTCGCATTCATTTGCAACCATCACACCAAAGACACCAAAGTGAATATTATTTTATATAATGCAGCAAAATTATAATGTCATTATTAAGAGACAACTGGAGAATTAATTTAATATATTGTAATTTGAGAAAACTAACTTCCCAAATAGAATAGCTAATCTATAATAAATAAATACCTGGGTCATATTCAATTATTCGTAATTATTCCAGGGGCTTTTCAGAGCTAATTATATATAGTTCCCCACTGTTCTGCATGCTCCAATTATAATTGTCATAAGCAGCACCTTTGGGGATGACAACAGTCTTGTTTCTTAATTTATTTTTTTTTCTTTGGATCCTTGTAACCCATATTTATCCAAAAAAACATGTTCTTGAAGTCCATTTTCCGCCTTTTCGAAACATCAAACATTTCTCGCATATATTATATATACAGACACTACTACCTTCCAGGAGTTTCTCTGGGCTCGAAAAGGGATAGAAACCACAAATTTTCTGTAGTTTTATAACGATCAAATACAATTCTATACTTGGTTGATTCTCAGAACATTTTATTTACTACCAATCTGCTAAATACAAATTTGCTTGAACATGTTTCAGTATAGTTTGAAGATGAAAAGTCTCTTATTAGTTGACTCCTCTTTAAGGAAAAAAAAAAGTATGTCAACGAATTCCTTTTTGGAAAAAACGTGAATATAATTAAATCAATAGTCATTGGAAACAAGCAGCCAAAGGTTAATAGTACAACAATAGATCAGTACATTACCACCATCTTCTCCTTTTTTCCAATCTAAAATTTAGTCTATTCACTCTTTTAAGTTAAATAATCAGATAGTTATTTGTGATTTTGGATTATTTATTAGACCTTCAGTAGTACAATAAGAAACGCATAGACTTAACATTGCTAATAGCTACTATTAATGTTTATATTGTTATTTAGACATAATAGACTGTTGTTCTGCACTAACTAGAAAATACCAGTCTTGAGCTTTTATATTTCAATCAAAATTGAAGTATAATCAATTTACCAAAAGATGGAGTGCTTACTTGGATCACGTGTCCACATCAGGAGCTTACATACAATGCTTCTGGACTTGTGTTGATTTATTAGTCTCCTTGGTAGATGGTGATCTAAGAACAATAATACCAAAAAAAAAAAAATAAATGAAACCTGCTTAGAATTAAGATAGCTTTAATATCTTTAATGGTGAAAGATTGTTCTTTGAACATGAATTCATTAATTTTATTTCATTTCTCAAATCGATTTTCTACCCAATCTTTCAATTGTAAAACCCATCAGCTTTTTGGTTCCTCACATGTGAGAAAATCCCAATTGAGCTAGATTTGACATGAGAATCTAAACATCAATCAATTGAATATAAATAAGGAGAGCAAAAAATAGGGCGCGTACCAGATCTGTACCTTGGGGACTTCAACTGAACGTAAATAAAGTAAGGATTGACAGTAGTGAAGCTTAATCTTATCTCTACAGTTGTGGAAATAGATGCTTCAGGTTGAGGATGGAGAGACACGACCGCGTGAGGATGATGAAGATAACATTTACGCGCAAGTATTAATGGGCCGACTTTTATATATGTATTGTTGGGGTCTAGTTTGGTATATTTGGGCTCATGATTGATAAAAAAAAAAACTATGAGGTCGTCTAACAGTTAAACGAAAATTAATAACATATACAAAACGTCATACTTTTATTTATTTTATTTTTTAATTTAGAGATTTTTATGTTATGAAATGACATATAATGTTGTTTTTAGGTTAGCTTGATAACATCAGACTTTGTTTTTTTAGTAGAAAATGTCATATTTTTTATTTATGTTGTTATTATTTTTTTTTATAATGGTAAGAAATGTCATGTTTTTATTTATGTTATTTTTTAGAGCTTCATGTTTTAGTTTGCTAACATCATACTTTTTACCAGTAAGTTGATGAAATTATATTATATTAATAAATATTATACATTAATTATATTTTGTAATATATCATATACTTGGTACGTAATAAAATCATTTAGTATAATGTTATAATTTTTCTTAACACCACTCTCAGTTATTCTTTATACGAAAAATTTATTTGTTTCCACATTAGACATCACCATTCAACTTTGTCCGGATTATACACTTATACATCAACATACTCAGAGACAATTGATATAACTTAAAAGATTTGCATTTTTGCTTTGTTTGGGACTCGATTGAGAAACTTACCGTGCATGTAGCTGCCCACTACGCTTTTGTAGGCCGTCTTTCGATCGTTCGACATCAATTTTAATCTATAAATTTACTTTTACCGATAAAAAAATGATCTATAGACATAATCCATGATCAAATGATTGTATTGTGTCATTACAAAATTTTATGTGCAGTTCCCTTTCACTAGGGAAGGAGTGTTTGTCATTCAAATGTATATTCTCATGAATCCAAACTCCCTTTATTCTGTTCTATGTGAAAGTGTCAGCTGCGAATGCCGTGGCCGAAGCTGTGATGCTGTTTGGCTTCTCCCATAGGTTGAAGAGGACTCTAATCTACTAGTAACCACACTCGACCTCCTTGTTAATCCATCTCCCAACACACATACACACAACAACAAAAAAAAAAAAATAAAAAAATAAAAAAAAAATAAAAATAAATCAGCAAATTGATTAAAAACTATACCATTTTATTCTCATAAATTGATTAAAAACTAAAGCATTTTAGTTTTTGCTGGATTATTTGATAATAAAACGGTTTATGATACTGATTACTTGTTTTTCATTTTTTGGTGTGTGTATGTGTGTTTGGGGATGGATTAACAATGAGGTCGAGTGTGGTTACTAGTGGATTAGAGTCCTCTTCAACCTATGGGAGAAGCCAAACAGCATCACAGCTTTGGCCACGGCATTCACAGCTGACACTTTCACAAGGAGATGCTTGATTTGTCAATGTGATATAAAAATAACGATATTAATAATAATTAAAAGAAAAAGTTGATTTATTGATTCTTCACATTGACATTTTCATATGCAAAAGCTTGCAATTCCCAAATTCTCTATACTTCTCTAAATCCAAGTTCTGACATATCTTGCCTTGCCATCAGGTTCCTGCAAAAGAACCCAGATTCTTGAAGGATTATATACAGAACCCAACTTCAAGTTAAGAATTATTTAAAGAGCCGGAAATATATATATATATATATATATATATATATATATTGTACTTTCAAATGCTCCATCAAAAGTGTTGAAGGATGCTCTTGCAGTTTGTAATGTCAGAAATCAGGGTATATTTTGCAACTAATCCAAAAACCTTATGTATAGTTCCGTAGTTAACCCTAACAAAGGTCCATCAGGAACCCTCATCTCATTTATAAACATTCAAGGGCATTAAATCCCAAGTCCCAGCTAGCCGTAATATGAATCAAGAAAAGAGCACAACTACTCGTGAAAAAATGACAGTTCCAGTAACTCGTGCTTAAAACAACCAGCAAAGTAAACAATAGACGAACTCACTTTTCCATACGGCATTCCAAGTACTTCTTGGAAAACTGTCTGCATTTTTCTGAATTATGGCTCTCGGATTTCAGACAATTTATATAGTCTTTCTTCTCCTGCAATAAAACCAAATCTCACCAGATGAGCAAACAAAATCCATACAAGTATAGATTATTAATAGAGCTTCTTCAGAGAGTTCAGAAATAGTATCTATCCAAACTACAAATCCACCTCAACATGCTTGTTTACACAATGACCTTATATTTGATGGGTATGAACAAACCTCAAAAGATGAAATTCTGATTCTGAAAGATAGCTCGATTTTTAGTAATCAGGCTAAAACATCGGGGGTAATCTTAGTACTAATATCTTGGTCATTTTCTAAACATTCACACTAGGAAAAGTCTGTTTTTCACGTGATTTTACCAGGTCACACAGATGCATATGATCCAACGGGAAAACTCCTTTTTCGGGTGGCACAGGTCTTGCGCCTCGATTTCCACCAAATGCTCCTCCTATAGGGTTAGAAGGTAAAAGGTAAACAGCAATAATAATAATTCCAATAATGATTTTGGAATATAATTCGTAGCATAAAGATATGTTCGTAGCATCTCAAGTTCAAGTTCAAGTTCTGACACAAAAGGAAGGCCGAGCAGTTATCCATTTGCACTTACAAAACCACTGACAAAACGCCACAATCTAAACAAATCCATCATTTCAGTTCTATCTTTCCATTTATATAAAGATTCTGCATAAAGTTTCAATCTTTGGCATACATTGGGTCAACTAAGATTTGTTCTAACTGCAAAACTGAAAGATGAATCACATCCTACCTATGCGCACAAAACCAACAATCTAAAGCTCAAGAAACAATATTTTCAGTGAACCAGAGAGAGAGAGAGAGAGAGAGAGAGAGAGAGAGAGAGAGAGAGAGAGAGAGAGAGAGAGAGAGCAATCATAAAATCAAATTATCTGGGTCCTGAAGAGTTCGATAGTAACTCCAGTGATATCTCTGATTATTCCTAATATTGAATCAAACTTCACTAGAAAAATCTCACACCATAAAACCCTAAACTCACCCGGAAAATACCTATGAAGAAAATAAATAAATTCAAGCCCCAATTTAACATAAGAAACGCAATACGCACCTGCACTCATCGGTCAAAAGCTCTGGCTCCTTTTCGTCGGCCGAAGCTCGCAGTAGGCACTGCACTGCATTTTGTATCTGTTTTTTCTTTTTTTCTTTTTTTCCTTTTCCCTTCCTTTCTCTAGTTGAAGTATCATTCAGCTGGGCTTTCATACGAGGCCCAATTTAGGAAGAGGCTACGGCCCAGTGGAGACCACTATTGGTCTAAAGACTTGTGGTAGCCGCTCGTGATCTGAAGTTGGCTAGGCTCGTTTATAAAATAATATAAGGTCGAACTCATTTAAAGCTTGTTTAGCTAACAAGCCTTCCGACCCGACTAGTTAGGGCTTGTTGTAAAAAAAATTTAAACGTAACTTCCCGAACTCTCAATTTAGATTGGCTTAACGAGCTTCGATTCGGCTCGCTAATATTGACAAAAAAAAAATCAATCTTGTTCAGTTAACTGGCTAAACTCGATAAAGGTTAAAGTTTAAAGTAGACTCAAACTCGATAAAAGTTTGAACTCGAGGTCTGCCCATGTACGCCCTTGTTGCGGCGAAAAAATATGTTAATTTAAATAAATATTACAAAGTAACTTCTGAAGGAAAATTGTGTGGTTGATTTAATTAATTTCTTTCTTGGGTTGCATTTCTTTCCTTCTTCATGTTGTGAGTGTGCAGAATTTGAGAACTGCAAAAACATCATAGTAAAAGGAATAATATACAATTTCCATCACTTTCTTGAACAACACCGTTGTGTTACATAAAACAGACTTCAACAAAACCAGAGAAATCAACAACCAAAACTCATCAAGCTAAAACTTTACAGTATAGCCGCTAATGAAAAATAAAAAAAATAAAAAATCACGAGCCAATCGATAAGCTGTATGCATTCGGTTGCCGGATCACAACCACAACCGAGTCCTTCAAACTTTCCTTGTGTGGTAAAGTTGGCTACAAAATATAAAAACAAGACAGAACATTGATATTATCGTTAGTTACTTTCTTAAAGAGTACCTCACGAGTCATTTATCCGGCTTTAAGAAAAATAGAACGGATTATTGCATTGGTAATCATAAACCTAAGGCATTGTTCTTAATTTGCAAACTCAAAAGCCGAAGTACACTTTTGTCACTTACCACCCCAATGTGCCATTCGTGACTTCTAAAAGCTTTGAAAGTCTGCGCATCCATTTCCTGCAGTACAAATACTCGATCGGGGTATTAATTAATCACAATTTCTTCTCGCACTGATCAAGGGTGTTTGTTAAGGAAATACAAACTAAAAAAAAATCGGTTTTTCCACAAGCCAAACTTCAAAATATCAATTTTCAATGAATGCGTATAGAAACAGACACACGACACAAGTTAAATAAAAAAGCACGAAGTCCCTTTGAACTCACAATGCTGTAGATAGGAGGTATTGTTGTCTCCCTATTAGAACTCAATGCAGGCATAAGCGAAAAATGAGGTGCCAATTCTTGACACCTGAATATCCATCTTTAATTTGGAAAAAGTCAAAATTAGACTACGAAATCAAGACATCATATATATATATATATCATTGTATATAATATTGTGGATAGATAACTTATAGTTACTGACCCAATGTACAAGAAGATAAAGAACTGAGCCCACTCACGAATCAACAACCGAACCCAAAAATTTTCCAATGAATTATCCATGCTTATGAACACCTGAAAAACCAAAAAAAAAAAAACGCTCAGTTTTAAATAATGAAACACGATTCGATTTACGCCAAATGTTTCTAGCTTTTAAGACGTTCATACTGCAAGTTCTGAGACTGCCACAACATTCATTGCCCCTCGAAATTTCCTGAGCAAACACAAAAAGTGGGATAAAAAGAAAAAATCAAAATTCAATACATCCTCGATCTTACTTGAGTGCATTTATGAAGAAACTAATTATTTAGAAAGAAAGAAAAGAGGTGTGAGAGTGCATATACTTGAACATGATGTATTTCGTATAAACGGCATCATGCATTGCGTGCACATCCTCATCTTCTATGAAGCTCAATTGGTCGCGTAAAACATTTAAATTTCGTGATATGTGGTTGAATATAGCGTAGAACACGATGACGTAATTGACCAACAAAAGCCCCTGCGCAAAAACAAGTAAAGGCCTTCTTTTTAATAATGAATTTCAAATTTTGTTCTTACACAACTTTCACAACTTATGTTATACTTCACAAATTTTATCTCTCGACTAAATTTTCTACACAAAGAGGCCGCTTAGTTTTAGCATACATTCTCGAGAGATCTTGTTTCACACGTACTATAGTCTATAAGCCCAAAATATAAGATCATTGCACTAAAATAAAATAAAAAATATAGAAATACTCACGAAAAAATACGGTACAGAAGCTCTATAGCCAACGAGAGTCATGTAGAACACACATGATTGAATGGCCATAGTTCGACGTTCGGACAATGAGAGCCGGTGGCACGTGATGCAATAACCATGGGAAATGAGGAAAAACGATACAAATGCAGATGTTTGAAATACTATCCCCATTATGTACACCCCAAAAGACACCCATAAAGAGCACATATTTGAATAAAAATACGAATACCTGAAAACAAGAAAAGGATCAAACAATTAGAAGCATATATTGTTATCAAAATATTAAATTTTGAGAAACAATAGGGCCATTTTAGGCCGACCTCACGATTAGGCAATCCATAGATGTTGTTGTTGTTAGGCTGTGACTAACCGTTAGATAATCATACTTTTGTACAAAAAATGCATACATATACTTATACTATGAAATTATGCACTTCTGTTTGTATATCTTTAAATTATGACATTTGAATATAAGAATATATATATTTATTGAAAGAGTATGACTGTATAACCATTAAGCAGCCTAATAGGCGATTTACCGTAGCCAGTCATAGTTTTTTCTCGAACATATATGCATGTCATACTTTTTTTCTGTAAAAAACAATATAAACAAAAATATGATATTTCATAGTGTAAGTAAGAAATAGTGTTTGTTAAAAAAGTATAACGGTCGACCGTCTAACGGTTAGCACTGTCTCACACGAGAATTTTTGTGTGACATTACTTGTCAAATACTAAAATAGTGAAAGTTTATTGGATATTGTGGATTAATAATCATAAATTAATGGGAATATATGAAGTACCAAAAGAGGAAAGATAATGAGAGATGAAGAGCTTTGATCCAGGGCACAGAGGCAAGCATCCATTGCAGTTTATTGGGCTGCTGAAAGTAATAATGGGAAAACAAAAGCAAATTACATATTCTAGCAATTAATTTCTAATTAAAAAAAAAAATGAAAATGAAATGACCTGAAAATGGGCGTTTATGCAAGTGTTGAAGGTCCAGGAAGCGGCGGAGAGAGCCCAAATGAGTGTGAAAGTAAAGTAAAGCGGCGGCAGCAGCTCGTATGCGCCGCCGCTGGAACCACCGGAGGTTTCCATTTTTCAACTGAGGTTTTTTTT